TATGTAAGGATTAAATTGCAGTAATCTCTGTAATCTACTCAGCAAGATTAAAACCTCCCCCCACCCCCAGACTTTATCCCTTTCATTCCAGGACTCCGCTAGCAGTGATTACAGCCGGGGGAAGCCATTTAGCTTTTAAGCACCGCTCCATCCTGCTTAAAAATGCATTTCAGAATCAAATGAGTTCATACAGCATGGCCAGGGCTGGCTGCTCCGGCTGGGCAAGAGGCTCAGAATTAGGACCAAAGTAGCTTGAGTCAGAGTCAAAATCAAATTTATTGTTTCTGGCCTGATTCAGAATACAGTGCATTTACAACTGATTAACGAGGCTTAACAGGAGTTTCGGACTCAATTCAAGGCAGCTCAGAAAGTCTCTGCTTCCACCCTGCTGTCTGACAGGCACGTTTGGACTCTGCTGCACTTGGGAGACCCCACGCTGGGAGACCTGCCAGCCGTTAGTGGTGATGAGCTGAGGGGGCTGCAGGAGCTGGGATCAGCCTTTGGAAGCATTTTTTTACCAAGGGAGTGGTCAAACACTGGAATAGACTTCCTAGAGAGGTTGTTGATGCCCCAAACCTGTCAGTGTTTACAAAGCATTTGCACGATGCCCTTAATAACATGCTTTAACTTGGTCAGCCCCTGAATTGGTCAGGCAGTTGAACTAGATGGTCATTGTAGGTCCCTTCCAACTGGGATAGTCTAGTCTATTCTAAGCAGCTCTGAGGCCAGGGCTGATAGGACTGGATATCACTTCCATCTTCTGTGTCACTAAGCCTGTGGTTCTCACCAGAGCTGGGATGGTGTGAGGGTTGCGCTGAAGAGGGAGAACCACCCAAGTGCCAGTGGCTTCTGAAGTGGTACCAGAGCCTTTGCCATTGGCTGGACTGGGAGAGAGGATGCGGCCCCAGCATTTGGGAATGGCTGGGTCCCACTGGCCTGTGCCCATCCAGCACCTGCACTGGTCCCGGGAGACGTGCAGCAGGTCTCTGAGCACCATCAGCCCCCACCTCTGTCCTAACGCCCTCCTGGCCCCTTGCTGCTCCTCACAGATCTGGCTTGGCTGTGTCCCTTGCTCCTCTGCTTCCTGGCTGCAAAACACTGAAATGTCCTTTTATCAGCTCCAACTGTCCTGCCAGGACAGGGAGAACTGGGAGACGCTGGAGAGCAGCAGACCTCATTGCAGAGGCTTCATGCAGGCATTCAAGGACATTGTCAGGGCCATGAGGCTGGAGCAGCTCAGCCCCAGCTGCCCCAGGGCACTGAAGATCCCCTGTCCAGGTACATGTACTGCTCAGCCATCAATTCCCAGCACAGAGAAAGGTGGCAGCCCAGAATCAAAAGGTTGTTAATGACATACATATTAGACACAGGAAACTGGATTAACAATGACATTTTGGCCCTGAGGGCTTTTTTTGGCTCTGGAAATAAATTCTAACCTTGATCTCTTCTGCCTACAACCTGAAGACTTCAAGGGTAGAATATCACCTTTAATCTTATTTGCTATTTCCAGTATGCATTTTATTGCTTCCCTTTTTTTTTTTTCCTATAGATTTCATGTGTTCCTGCCACAGACTTTCTTTGTGTATTTCTCTAATAATCTTCTGATCCCTATGTTTCTACAGCTTTTCTCTTTTTGCCTGCCAGTCAGCTGCCTCTGCCTGGGATGAGCCCTTAGAGTGGGTCCTCTCTGGAAAACTCACCGAGCCAGGAGCCCTCAGCAGCGGTTCTTGCCTCTGTCAGTTCATGGCCGGGGTGATCACTGCCCTGGGAGGGAAGCAAGACAAGAGGGTTGATGGACAAGGACAAGCTCCAAATTCTTTCTATGGTGTTTGTGTCATGAGTGCTGTCTGGCCACAGCCCCTGTGGTCCCATGAGCTGGGCACTGCTCTACACAAGGTGGGAAGGGATGAGCACAAGAGGTCTCCTGGGAGCATTTGGAGAAACTGTCCTGGGGCAAACCAGCATCCAGGACCATGCAAAGAGCTGCAAGTGGCCTGGGAGTGACAGGACTCTGTGAGGGACCTTCAGGGTTAATGCTGGGCAAGGCAGTGGGGTCTTGAGCTGCTTAGGTAAATCCCACCCCAGAAGGGAGATTGGAGAGTTTGGGAGAGATGGAGGAAGGATGGGAAAGATCAAGTTGGGAAGAGAGCCAGGAACCCAGGAGAGGAGAGGAGAGGAGGAAAGGGGAGAACCTGTGGAAGCCTGAAAAGGGGCTAATGGAGGTGGAGAAAAGAAGGCAAAGGAGAGGAATGTGTAAGGCTGGCAGCAAAATGCGGTGCCAGCTCAGTTCAGGAATGGGTGAAGGAGAAGCAGAAGTGGAGGCAAGAAGGGGAGGCAGGACCTTCACCAGAGCTTGCAGCAGTGGTTCCTCCAGCCCCCGCGCTGTGAGGTGCTGACTGGTGACAGGGGAACCTCCTGAAGTGATTTCAAAGGGCTCCTTCCTCTCGTGATGCCAGGGCAGCTCCAGCAGCAGCACGGTGCCTGGCTCCCCCCACCCGCCCAGGGGGATCCCACTCAGGGCTGACTCCTGGGGCTCCTGTTAGTACAGGTGGCAAGGCCAGGAGTGTGCCAAAAGTGCCAGAAAGCTGTTGTTTATGTGGAGTGGGGTGTAAACAGCAAAGATGTCATGGAAAAAAAGACATGCCCTGCAAAGATACAAAGACTGAAAGCAAAATTGTCAGCTTTACAAAACATTCCTCCCTTGCACGGAGAGAAACCTGGAGGTGTCTAGGCATCCACACCAGCTTTATTTATCCAGACGCCTCTTAATGTTCATGCTAAAGCAATGTGTTTGCTGCCGAGGCTGGATCACCACATGGAGGTAATAAACCGGCTAAAAATGGAAAAAGCAACATTTCCACAGATTTATTTTAGCAGTTTGTCATGGAGCGGAACCGAGTGATGGACACCTCCTGCCGCTGGAAGGGGAGCCTGCTGATGCCTGACTCCTCAGGTACCCTCATCCCTGTGCCCCTGCCCTTCTGTCACTGCCCAGGCAAGGCAGCATGCCCCAGCAGAGGGGCTGAAGCCCCGTGGGCTCCATCAGTGCCACCTCCCTGCTGGGCACTGCACCAGCTCAGCTGGGGGGCATACCACACGTGGTACCAAATGCAAAACCCCTGTGGGTCACTTCAGCATGATGAGGTTGGCCCCAGGAGGATTCAGCTCCTGTCCTCCAGTTCCTGAGCTCTCCTGAGCCAGCAGACTCTCTCTTCCTTAAGAAACTATTTTTAAACTCCCAGGGAGGTGCAATTCCACTGCTCCCACACCAGCACAGGTGGAAGAGGCTGCAGAAAGCACTGCTTTTCAGCTGTCTTTTCCATCTTTCTTTACATCTGCACCGAGTTCCTGGGTGTTAACAAGAGGAAATCTCATCCCCACCCCGGACTGGCTGCCAGGGAGCTTGCAGCATCCTTGTTTGTGTTGGGCTGGCACTTTTTGCCTGTCTCTCTCTATTATCATCCTTCTCCCCAAATAACAAGACAAGTAGTTTTTTGCAGCTGAACAAGCTTTCCGTGCTGAGAAAGCAGGGATGGTGACTGTTCATGTTTAAGCAGTGCTGCACGCAGGCCTTTGGCTTTAGCATGAGCAACCAAGCAGAAGTCTGGGATGGGATGTCAGGGTGTGAGAGGGAAGGAAGCCGTGTCAAGCAGAGGGAGCCAGAGGGGTGGGGATGGAACAACCACCTTCACCCATATTCTGCAATAGCTTCGTGGTTTTCTTGGGTCAGCCTCCTTGTAGGGCACCACAAACCATACGGGCGAGGCTGAGCGTCCCCAGCCTGGCAGAGAAATTTAATTCTTGCGTCTTCTTCACGCCTTTCCCTCTTATTCACCGGCGGTACCCCACGGCTGAGGACAGAAAGCGTTGCTGCCGTGTGGGGCGGCCCCTCCTGCCTCATGTCCCCTCCCTCGGAGGAAGCTGGCTGCGGGGCAGAGCGGCTCCGGTGCCCGGGAAGGAGCATCCTTAGGGACCGGCCGGGCACGTTGCCTCCCTGCCAGCAGCTACCCATCCCGCTGCCAGCCGTGCCCGTCCACAGCTCCGAGCCCTCTCTCCCGGGCTCCCGAACCGGTGGCTGCTCACACCCGCTCCGGTGCCGGTTGGCGTTCCCGGCCTGGGGGCTGTGCGGCTGCGGGGGACACCGCTCCCGGCCCGCCCGTCCCAGCCCGGGATGCGGGGCCAGACGCGGGTGTCCCCGGTCCCGCACCGCTGCTCTGGGTAGCTGAGGGCTCGCTGCGGGTTCAAAACTGCCCGCAGGACCGGGCAGGACAGCGGGCGCCTCCATCCCTGCCCTCCAGCCCCCAGGGGCACGGCGGAGCCCGGGGGACCGGCCGGGATGCTCGCACCGGGGCCGCTCCCGGCCCGGGCTGGGCAGAGCCGGGCACCGCGGGGGAGCGGGGCCAGCCCCAGCCCCGTGGCAGCCCCAACCCGGGCGGGAGGGATCGGTGGTGCAGGTACCGGCGGCCCGGCCCGGCCCGGGGGAGGCTGCGGCCGCCGAGCGATCGCGGGGGCTCCGGGAGGAGCTGACGTCAGGCGGCCCCTTAAATAGC